CCAAACACCACGGCTGAGCACCACGTCCGCACACCACGACCAAGCAGGGTGTCGAGCACCGAGATCGCACCCCTGACCAAGCCCTGCAACATCTGACCCAACGCATCTCACGCCACCACCACGCCGGCTCTGCAGGGAACGGCTCCACCACGACCCCGGGACACCTCGGACACGGCAAAACCACCGGTTTGCATCAACCCAACCGGCTCCCGGCACACCTCGAGCTGTCGCTCCGGAAAAGTAAACTTCCTTCTCAACGACATTGCTTTATTTTTTTTTTTTTTTATATCTTGGTTCCTTAGTTTCGTATATACATTAGTAGCACCTCAGCGAGATGGAATCAGGCAGAAGCGTGATACAGTTTGTTAAAACACCATAGCACCGTTTGTATTACAAGATTTCATTTAATAAAAATATGCCTTATAGAGCCCACAAAGCGTACTCCAGTATTAAAAGGAAAAATCAGCAATTGAGGCACCTCAGGGATTCTGGTTTCCTTCTCCTTCCCACGCCTCATCTCGAGAGCATCGGGACGGGGGGGGGGGACCCGAAACGCACCCTCTGACGGAAGGAGCCGGTCGGGGCTCCCCGTGCCGAGCTCTCCCCGGGGTTTCCACCACGGGTGTTGTTCTAGCACCATTGTGGCCACGACCCGCTGCAAAAACAAGGTCCCCACATCCCATTCCGAAGCAATTAAAAACGTCCCTCCCCCCCTCCCCAAACCCCCGAACTCCGTGACCCCCCCCTTCCCCCGTGGCTTCGGTGCGGGCGGGACGAGCGCGGCCGCCGGGGGCGGGTAAAGGGAAAGATTTTGCTTGGAAACAGCCTCTCAGCAGCAAGGGGTAAAAGAGCTGTGCATAGATTTCGAGTTTTGTGTAGAAGTCTGAAGCGTGCGAATTTTGTAATGACTGAGAGTTGAGGTAGGTTAGACGTTTATGTAGTGTAAAAACGTGAGACTGCAGCAGTTCTCGCTCCCCCCCGACCCGCGGCGCCGGCAGCTCCCGCTCCCCCCCGGAGCCAACGGACCGACCCCCCCCCCCTTCCCTGCACCAAAAACACCTCCAAGGAAGCAGGACTTAGACAGGTTACACGGACCATCGCCTTCTCCCGACGTTCCTTCCCCTCCCGATGCTCCAGGCGAAGCTCCAAGGCACCCCCGCCGCGCCAGCCAGAGACAAACCCCCGGCGATGCCCAAGGGGCCGGCACCCGAATCCGGCCCCGCATCCGCCAGGTCCCCTCTCCGCCCTCCCAACCACACGGCGGGTCCCCCGCTGGAACGGGCGTCCCTAAAATCCGACTTGCCGTCGACTCTTACAATCCTGATATGCTATTGGGGATTTATAAGAAAAGCGGGAATAGCTCGTTGAGTTTCCTTGTCAAATATACGCGACTTTACAGATTACGGTTAAAAAAAACGAGCAAAAAAAAAAAAAAAATCATTAATGATGAAGGACGGACAAAGCATGTTAAATATTCTGCCAGTATTTACAGTTCTCCCACGATAATCTTGTTTAAAACATACTGCTTCAAGTTGGGGGGGGGGAGAAGTGGGAGGGAAGGGGAGAGGGAAGAGGGAGGGAGTTGTTTGCTTTTTTTTTTTTTTTTAAGTTTCGCTTTTTAAATCTAGGTGAAAGTGCTTTTAAAAAAATTCTTTCCCTATGTACAGGTTTTTAAAATCAGACCACGTAAATGTTCAGGCTGTTTTGTTTTTTTTTTTTTTTTACCGAGATCCTGCTGATCCGTGTCCCGTGCGCGGGGTGGGGGGAAAGGAGGGTGACAGTAAACACGAGGTGGTTCCCGCACGGTGACGGCGTCGCCGCTGCCTCGCTGGCTCTTCCAAAAGGCACCTCAAAGTGCAAAAGCAACAACCCCCCCCGGGGGCGCCGGGAACGTGGATGCGGCCGCCTTGCGATTCCCGGGGAGCTCTCCCGCCCCTCCATCCAGGCGCGACTCCGGCGCCGGGCGGGAAGTCTCGACAGAGATTGTTCCAAAAGCACCACGCGGTTGTCGTCGTCGTCGTCGTCGTCGCTGGGTTGTTGGTTGGGTTGTTGGGGTTGGGTTTGTTTGTTTTTTTTTTGTTTTGCGGGAAGAACGGTGATCCGTAGGAAGGAGGGATGGCACCCGGGGGGGGGTAAAGAGCACCGAGCCCCGGCGGCACCGGGGCCGCCGCGCCCGCTCGCCGGCACCGGCAGGGAAGGCGGACCCGGCGGGGTTTGGCCCAGCCAAGTCTTCGGGATTCGCTCTTCCCGGAGCCGATCGCACGGAGAAAGTCCCCCGGAGACGGAAAGCACCAGACTTTAGCAACAGTGATGTACAGAGAGCAACACTCGCTATTCACAGTTTGGGGTTGGTTTGTGTGTGTGTGTTTTTTTTTTTCCTGTTTTTTTTTTTTCTTGTGTTTTTTTTCGTTTCTGCTTCTTTCTCTTGTCAGCTCCTTTGGAGATGCCGCCACCGCTCGCCCCGGGGCTGTCGGCATAGGAGCCACAAGTCCGAGACCGAGCGCAGCCCCCCCCGGCAGCGGCGTTCCCAGCCCGGACGTGTCCTGAGGTCTCCGGCGCCGGGAAAGACGCCGGCTCGCTCCGTCCAGTGGAGCCGATCCCGCCAGAGGAGGAGCCGAGCGAAGACGGGACGTCCCGGGATGTCCCACTGGTCTGTGGGCTCCCGTCGCTGTAAGAAAGGGCTCCTCGAGCTGCAAAATAAGTATTTTTAGGTCCTTTAGGAATAAAAATAATCGGCTGCTCAGCGTGTCCGGCTGACAGTAAAGCACATGATCCCGACAGCCTCGGAGCTGTAGGGAGTCACCTCTTGCCTTTAAGCTGGTTTGGTGTTCAGGTTGGTTTGGATTTGTGTTCAGGGTGGGTTTTTTTCCACGTTGGCTTCTCTTTCGAAGATCGGCTTCGTCGTTGTCATCGGAGTAAAAAATAAAATAAAATCAAATCCGACAAATAGGCTTTTCCTTGAAGTGGAATTAAAAACCTCTCCTCGCGAAAGGACGCTAGGAAATTCATCTGAGGCTAGATTAAAAAACATGGAGATATAAATAGATTACCTAAAATCATCAAACAGCATCATTCCTCCTGGGTGTTTTGGGTTTTTTTCACCCAGTTTTGCTTGGTTTGCCAACTCCTCGCCGGGCGCAGCTCTCTGACGGCGCACGCACGCGCCGGCTCCACGCGTCGGGTTCGCTTCCTATGGGTTGGATGGTTTTTTTTGTTTTTTTGTGGTGTGGTTGTTGTGTTTTGCTTCGCTTTTGTCTCTTTAATTTCTTTTTATTTTTTTTCTTCTCCCCCACGCCCGAGGAGAAAGCACCACGAAGCAACGCCGGGCACCGGCGCTGCCGACGGTTGAGGTAAGATGGGGCCGCGGCGGTCGCGCCCGTCTCAGATCCAGCGGCTGTAGGGGCCCGTCACCTTGGTGTAGGCGTAGGAGGACACAGTGATGGCGGAGTTGGTGGGGATGGCCACCGCCTGCCGCGTGGGGACCGAGTCCCTCCTCTCCTTGCTGGGCGCCTCGGTCGCCAACGCGCCGCCCCACTTGCGTTTCTTGGCGAAGGCTTTGGCGTCCGGCGGCAGACCCAGGCGCGCCGCCTCCTCCTGCCGGGCCCGCGCCCGCTCCGCCAGCTGCTTCATCTTGGCCTCCCACAGCGCCAGGCCGTGGTTGGGCTGGTTCAAGTTCTTGTGTTGGTAGAAGACGAGGGAGATGCGGGTGGGGTGGCAGCGGTTGGGTTTCTTCAGCGGGGTGGTGGCGTGGAGCTCGCGGCGGGCACACTCAATGAGGATGGAGCCGTGGGCGGGCGCCACGGCCACGCCACCGATGTTCTCGTCCAGGAAGTTGTGCTCGCTGTCCGACCACTCCTCCTCCTCTTCCTCCTCCTCCTCCTCCTCCTCTTCCTCCTCCTCCTTCACCGCCTTCTCCGGCAGATCCTCCTCCAGGCCAAAAGGGTCCCATGGCTTGTCCCGGCGAGGCCCTGCCGCCCCCTTCTCGCCCAACGCTGCCTCCCACGGCTTCTCCGGCAGCCCCGGGCTGGGCGCCGGTGTCCTGCGCTCCTCCACCTTCACGGAGCCCCACGGCTCCTCGGGGAAGCTGGGCAGCCCCGGCAGAGCCGAGCCGAAGCCCAGCGAGCCCAGCAGGCTGGAGGTGCCCGTGCCGGCCAGCGCCGCCTCCCCGAGCTTGCAGGGGCTCCACAGCTTCGGCAGCAATCCTCCCGACCCGCGCGCCGGCGCTGCCGCCGGCTCTCCCGCCGCCAGGACGTTGGGCCACTGCTTCTCCGGCGGCGGCAGGCGCGCGGCAGCGTCGAAGGCGCTCAGCTTCTCCCGCCCGCCTGAGCCCGGTGCCAGCGCACCCCACGAGCCCTCGGCCGTGTTAGTCCTCTCGGGGGAAGACACGCCCCGCGGCGCCTTGAAGGGGCTCCAGCGCTGCTCCGGCGCCGCGCCATGGGCGGGGATGGCCGGCAGCGTCAGGCCGGCACCAGGCACAGCTGCTGCGCCAGGAAGGGGCTCGATGGCGGATGGAGGGTCCGGAGGCTCCTGCTTGATGGGGCGGCTGCCGAAACAGTTCTGTGCAAAGGACGGTGCCTCCTCCGAGCCCGGGTTAGTCCTGTGCGCCCCGGCGGCCGCCGCTTTCTGCTGGCTGGCGTAGCGGTTGGCCCGCTCGTAGGTGCGCTGGTGGTGGTTCTTGCTCCGCACGCCGTGCGGGACGGGCTCGGGGAAGGTGGTGTTCCCGTAGGTGTGGTTGAGGTTCTCCTGCAGCACCGACACGTCGGGCTTCTTCTCGTAGCCGTTGCTCACCCAGCTGCTCCCGCCCCGCTCGGGCGCCCCGTAGTTGAGGAACTGCGAGGGGAACACGTGGTTGCTGGAAAAGCCGTAATACCCGAAGGAGGGAAGCGCGAACTTGGAGTGAAACCCGTTCACGGAAGGCAGATTGGGCTGTGCATAGTAGGAATGGTAAGAGTAAACACTGTTCATGCTGTAGGGGTCGGAGGGCCGGCAGCTGCCCAGCACCGAATAGCTCTCCACCACCGCGTTGCCGTTGTACTTGAAGGCGTTGTAATGGCTCTGGGGTTCCACCTTGATGGAAGGTTTCAGCGGCTGCGGGGGGATCCCGCTTTTCAAGGTCATACCTGCGGGACAGCACACACAGCCCCTGTGACCTGTCGGTCGTGGGAGCCACCGGAGGGGAGCGACAACCCTGAAACGCTCGGCCAGGCTCGAGAATCCTATGGAGCACAGAGGTTGGCATCGCCCGGGATTCACACCCACGCTCCGCGCTGCAGAGAGAGCTCCCACCACTCCACGGCACAGGGAAAAACCCAGGTGACGTGGAAAAGGCATCCATGCCATCCGGATAGGTAGGACAACTGGGGACTGGGTGGCTCAAAAAGGAGCATCCCAAATTGTGGGGGGAGAGCACCCTGAAATCCCCACCAGGCTCCTGCTCTCCAGCTCAACACACCAGCCCATCCAACCATATCCCAATCCCCTCACACACTTCCCGGTCGGCTTGGGGGTGGCAGGACCTCGCCTGTGCCCCCGTTACCTGCGTTTGGCTGGAGCGTGGGGAGCTCCAGCACCTCCTGCTTGATCTTCTCCGGCGTCATCAGCTTCTCCTTCTGCAGCTTCTTCTTCTCTGCAGCGGCTTTCCTGGCCTCCAGCTGCCTCTGCCGGCAGGACTTGGCGGGCTCGGGCAGCTTGCGGACCTCGCGGGGGAAGGACGTGAGCACCTGGATGGCCCCGCTGCCCACCTTGGCGTTTTGGTTCTCCTCGCTGCCGAACTCATCCGTGCTGGACATCTTGTAGAGGGGCAGGACGTGCAGCTGCTCGTCCTCGGGGATTTTGCCCACCACGCGATTGTCTTCCTTGGTCAGCGTGCAGACCTGGGTGGAGGGGGGGGGCAGGTGTTGTCAGCGGGGTGCTGAGGGGTGTGGTCTGTGCTGGATGGGCCAAACCTCCTCCTTATCCCCCCATCAGCATGAATCCACACCAGCCTGGCATCCCCTCTGCTCTGGTCCCCAGCTGGCATATGGAAACCTCCCGTGCGTTGGGCAAAAGCAAACGCTGGTCCCGTTAGCACCCACGTCTGGCTGGGGTGACTTCAGCACCCACTGACCTGAGGTGTCACTTGAGGTGTCCCGCCTCAAGGACCTGGAGCCAGGCAGGGAGGACAGAATATGCTGAGCTGGAAGCAACCCACGAGGACCATCAAACCCAACTCAGCCCTACACAGAGCACCCCCAAAATCCCACCATGTGCCTGAGAGCGTTGTCCAAACAGTCCTTGAACTCCATCAGGCTCGGTGCTGTGACCACTGCCCTGGGGTAGGACAACTGGGGACGCAGTGGCTCAGGAAGGAGAACCCCAAACTGGGGTGGGGGAACCCCAAACCTCCCCCCTGGGTGCCTGCTTACCACCGTGCAGCCGTTGTAGAGGTTGTGCTGGTCCTTGTGAGCGTGGGCACAGAAATCCATACAAGCCGTCACCCCCGAGAACGGCCTCCCCTCCTTCAGGCCAAGCCGGCAGTCAATCGCTACGTCCTCGTTGGTGACCTGGTGGAAGGAGGAGAGGGCTCTGGTTAGCAAAAATCTCCCAGACACCACCACCTGGCACCCATTCCTGCTGCCAGAGGGACAAGGCGGGGGTCACAGTACCTGGTTTTGGTAGGCTTGTGGCGCCAGCCTCTTGTAGAGTGGGGCAACCTCGGTGGCCAAGTCCTGAAAGCTTCTCCGGAGCAGCTCTTCCTGTGGCAGGGAAGGCAGGAGGATGTCACCCAGGGGTTTTGGGATGGAGTCAGGGACAGAGCCCACAGACACCACACAGCACCCAACCCTTCCCACCACGTCCAGCACAAAGCACGTGGCTTAAATTCCTGGTGAGGATCTGACTGTTCAACCTCCAGCCTCTGCACCCATCAGCCCTTTGGCTTCTTCCTTGGAGCTTCTACATGGACCCCACTTGGGCCTTTCTTTTCCTCACATCTCCCTAATCCATCCAAAATTCTGCAAGGAACCCTATTTTCAGGCTTCACAGGGAATCCTACTTTCAGGCTGCGAAACCTGGAGCTGAAGGAGGTCCAAACCCACCCCGCACCCCCTGCCCCCTCACCCACCTCTTTGGGATTGTCTCCCACCAGCCTGAACTTGCGGGGGGTTTTGCTCCGGGCATATTTGCAGCCGTTGAAGTACATGCTCCACGAGCAGCCGAAGGAGAAGGAAGCACCACAGGTGTTGGGGTCTTTGCCTTGGCAGGCACAGGTCCGGCTGGGAGGGAGGGACACCACGAGGAACATCAGCCACCAGCTGGGTGACAGCAGCTCTGGGAAGAGCAGGGACCCCCATATCCCATTCCCACCCCATCCTATCCTGTCCTGTCCCATTTAATTAATTATCGCCCACATAACCTAATTATAAATAGCGTGTTAATCTTAAACCATTTAGCAAAGTTGTTGTGAGTTACTTTTGTGGGAACACAGCTTAGGAAAATCAGTGAAACTGATACTTTTGATAAACTAACTCTGATGTGTTTCAGTGAACTAAAGCCACAAATATGGATTGCTGAAGCTGGACATCCGGAATGCAGAATTTAAGGACCACAAGGACGTTTTGCAGAGAGCAGAAGAGAAAGAAGAGACTAACAAAGGCTCAGTACGTGTGTTGGAAAGTCCCTGCCAGCGGAAAAAGATACTAAAAGGAGTAAAAATATGGACTAATTAGCACAAAAAGTAAGAAATCAATAACCAACAGAGAAAACTAATTAATGAAAGAGAATTATGTAATTTAGAACCAATGAACATTAATTTCGTCGTTTGCTAAAAATGTATAAAGAGGTGAAAAAGTTTTGATTCGGTGCCTGTGTGGAGGCCAGAGGACAAGAGGAAACAGCCTTAAGTTGTGCCAGAGGAGGTTTAGATTAAATTCCTTCACTGAGAGGGTGGTCATGCCTTGGAATGGGCTGCCCAGGGAGGTGGTGGAGTCCCCACCCCTGGAAGTGTTCAGAAAACGTGTGGATGTGGCACTTGGAGGCACTTGGTCAGTGCTGAACTTGGTGGTGCTGGCTGACGGTTGGACTTGATCTTGATGATCTTTTCCAACCTTAATGATCCTGAGATTCTGAAACCTCCTGACCAAGAACAAAGCCCTGCCTTGCTCCCTAACACTGAAGTCCCAATGCTCTGGGGGGGCTCTGGCAGCAGTGGCACTTACTCGTCGTTGAGGCCGCAGCGGCGGCTCGTGGGGTTGCCGTACTTGGTGAGGGTGTCGGTGAGCTCCTGGTACAGGGTGTCCCCCAGGGTCCTGGGGATGCCCTCCCAGGCCAGGATGAGGATGATGATGACGGCGTTCTGGCAGTGGTGCCCGGCCCGGTGCCGCACCAGGCACAGCAGCTTCTCCTCCTGGTTGTGTCTGCGGATCACCTACAAAACACGGGGGCCGATTCAGTGCTCCAGGAACACCTCCTGGGATGGGGGAACCCAAAAGTGGGTTCTGGATTCTTTCTCTGGGGACATGCGTGTCCCATTGTTGTGTTTCCCCCCATGGGCTTTGGGGTGGAATTCCCCATGGGAACTCCCCCTGGGGGCGGACACAGCTCTTGCTTCCTCCTGACCATCCCACCCCTGCCCACTGCACACACCGCTGGAGGGGGATCTCTTTGTGCCCAGGAAGGGAGGCAGGAGCACTGGGGGGCTCCAGGGGGAGACGGGAGCGGGGCACAGGCACTCACCCACTTGGCGATGGGGCAGCCCCGGGAGCTCTTGCCCTCCTTCCCAGTGTAGATGACCTTCTCGATGCGGATGGCCTTGCCCTTCTCACCGTACCTGCCAGGAACAGCCATCAGCCCCACTCGCCCACCCCCACACTCAGGAGACCCCCCCCGTCACCCTCGTGGGCCCCTCAGAAGCCCCCACTCACAGGACCTCACTTACCCTGTCAGGACCCCACTCGCCCTTGCAGGACCCTGGTCACCCTCACAAGCCCCCACCTGCCCATGTAGGGTCCCTCACAGACCCTCACAGCACCCCTTAGGAGCCCCAGTTTTCCATCATGGGTCCCACTCACCCTCACAGGATCCCACTCATCCTCAGGAGCCTCTTCATGGATCCCCATTCACCCCCACAAGCCCCCTCTCACCCTCATGGATCCCCATTCTCCCTCACAGGGCCCCACTCATGACCTCAGCCCCCTCGTAATCATGGGACCCCTCACTCTCTCAGGCCTCCACTCCCCCTGACAGGTCCCCAGAGACCCCCACTCTCCCTCATGGCCCCCTGCCCTCTCAGCCCCCCAGGGGTGGGATGGGAGAAGGTCCTCACCGCTCTTCCATGAGCTCCCTGATGGAGGCCACGGTGGGCCCCGAGCCCAGGTGGGTGTAATACGGCCCCTCGTCCTTCTCCACGATTTGCTCTGAAGACACAGGAGGGGGAGACACAGATTTTGGGGTTTGTACCTCCACCACCTGCTCCAAAGGATTCCAAACCCTCAAATTCCCTCCAACCAAGCACACCAAAACTCAAGGGTTCATCTCCCCATCAGAGCATCGGGGAAGGGGTTCATTAAACAGCCAGGCAGCTCTTCATCGTTTTCTGCTCTGGAAGATGCTCCCAGCACTAAAATGCCACTGGAAAACTTGGAAATGGGCGCTCAAACCCACCCCTGTTGGCTCCCTTTGGGGACTGAAAAACCTCCCTGAGCAGCCACAGCCCTTCCAAGCACGCCAGCAGTGACCACAGCTCCATCCTGGTGAGGGGGATTCCCTCCAGCTCTGGATTTGGATTCCAAATTCGACTGGACTCCAATTTGAGATTGATTTCAAACCCCTTCCTTATCCCAGCCCCTGCTCACCACCTGGAGCACCCCTCTGGTCCTGCTCACAAGGCTGCCAAAACCATCACGGGATGATTTGGGGGATGAAAACTGTTGGATTGGCGTTGTTCGTGGGGTGATTCAAGTGGACTGTGCAAGGAAGGAGCTGCAGTGCCAAGAAGAGGTGGGAGGATGCTGGGACTGTGGGAGAAGGATGCTGGGGTTGTGGGAGAAGGATGCTGGGGCTTTGGGAGAGGGATACTTGGGCTACACGAGGATTCTGGGGCTACAGGAGAAGGACAGTGTGGCTGTGGGAGAATCATAGAATCAAAAATCAACCAGGTTGGAAAAGACCTCCGAGATCACCAAGTCCAGCCCTTGATCCAACACCTCCATGGTTACTGGACCATGGCAAGAAGGGTCCTCAGGGCTTTCAGGGCAGGAAGGTGCCGTGTGGGAAGCACTGGATGCTCCAGGCAGGCACAAGGGTGGATCCACCGGGATGCTCCGACACCTCTGGGTGGGATGAATCATCCGGCACCACGGCTGGGTCTGAACTGTGCTCCCACCCCTCTGCTCTCACCACCCTGATTTTCATTCCCATCATGTGCAGCTGGCTGGGAGCCAGGCCGAGGAGAAAGCCGGGCTCAGCTGGGATGCAGCTGTCCAGACAGGGATCAATACGGGACGAGAGGAGAAGGCTGATTTCATTCCAGCGTCCAACAGCACCCAGTAAAGCACCGAGCCCCACTCCTCCTGAACTGCTTCTCCCGCAGCTTTTCCTTCCCACAGAGAGGTGGCAGCAGGGGAATCCCCCCTCTCCCAACCCCTTAAACCACACTGGAAAAGGAAAACCAACTCCAATCTCTTCCTGGCAAACTCCAAGATCGGTTCGAGTGGCTCCAGAAAAGCTTTTCCTTCGCTCCGTGACTTTTGGGCTGATTCCTGCTGCCATTTACAGGCAAATAAATAAATAATCATCAGCCCCACTAATAAAGTGCAGCTTGGTCTTGGCCCGAGGCCACCTCTCCCAGCAGTAGGGGGGTCGTTTTTCCAGCTGGATGCTCCAAATCCTCACCCTGCTCCTCCCAGCTCTGGTATAAACACTGGGGAGGGAAAATCCAGCTCCCTGCGCTTGGATGAAAGTAGACTGAAAGGACCAGGTGGGAATTCTCCAGGGCTTGCTGCAAAGTCTAACAAGTGCCAACAAACACCAAAAAAAGACCCCAAACTCCCACAAATTCAGGAGTTTGGTGATTTTTCAATGCATCCTGGGTGGATTGGCCAGTGAACACGGCAGCATCCCAGCAGCAAGGATCTCTCCAGGAATAAGCACACATGAAAAGCCAAAGTTTGGGTTACTCTGAGTACCCTAAACCAGCTAATTTGGCTGAAAATACCCTAAAGAACCAGGGGTTTAGGTAGGTTTTGGCACTGGGACCACCATGGACTGGTGGGATTCAGCTGAGTGGCTGAAATAAAACCCAAGAGCCCTTTGGTTTTGCTTCTCATCCAACCCCCACCAGCACAGCCTGTGGTGTCGGTGCCACCCCCACGGTGACACGGTGGGTGCTCAGCATTTCCAATGAAAATAACAGGCGAGAACAGAAAGCAGAAGCAGCTCCACAGCACCAGGGTTTGACCACCTGAGTGCTGTGCCAGCTCTGGGCCCTCAGTTTGGGGAGGATGTTGAGGGGCTGCAGCGTGTCCAGAGAAGGGCAACGAGGCTGGGGAAGGGGCTGGAGCACAAGTGCTGGGAGGAGCAGCTGAGGGAGCTGGGGGGGCTCAGCCTGGACAGGAGGAGGCTCAGGGGGGACCTTCTCACTCTCTGCCACCC